CGATTCGCACTATTATTACCGAAGTCACGCACACTAATGCAGGCATGGTACGTAAGATATGCGCATCACGTGGTACTCACGCACACATGAATCAAAGACTGGTGTCACTGTGAACGGTGCGATGTGTTAGCAACACGGTATCTGTACCTATAAAACATCTTTTCCTCTTTTGCTTGTCTGAAATAATACATGTTTTGTTTTACAAATTTTGCAATTTCAAAAATGTACAGACATGGGAGTGGTAGTATTTTTAGAGATACAAATAGCGGCCTGCAAGGCTCATCAGGTGCAGTGCCACATATTGCTCTAATACATTTTTTTTGGGCAATGAATGCCTTTTTTGCATCTGTGCTATTGCCTCATATAATAAGCCCGTATCGCAGTACGGATTCCACATATGCAAAGTACGCAGTAAGTGCTGTATTTTTTGTGGCTACTTTGCTTAGTTTATAAAGTGCGTACGAAAATCTATTTACTTTTTTACATACATGTTCAACTTGACATTTCCAATTTATTGAAATAATACTAGTTTTTACGGAATTTATCGCGTATATTTTAACTTTTTAAATACCCGACGTTTCGAACGCTTTACAGCACTCATGGTCACGGGCAGGACTGAGATGTTCAACGTCCATATGTCATAGTTAACCGCGGTTACCATAGATTAAAATTTAACTTTTGTTCTGATCTATGCAGTATGAACTTCTGGTATCTTGAAGTCTTGCAGTTGTATGCTTGGGTTGGGATTTAATTTTATTTATTATAGGATCCCAAGCAGATGGTAGCACCCAGCCATCTTCTCTATTGAAATTAGGATGTTTTTTGATTTCAATAGCCTCGCTAATCATCCTTGGAAGGAATCGGTGTTCTTTAGCGAGGATCTGCGGTCTATCAAATCTGATGTAGTGACGGGGGCGATCCTGTACGTGTTCACAGACTGCAGACTTCCCGGAGCGTCGATTTTTCACATCAGCTATATGTTCTTTAACGCGGGTTTTTATTGATCTTTTAGTTTGTCCTATGTAGGAGAGACCACATTCACAATCAAGCTTGTACACTCCTGCATCTTGCAGAGGGACATTACACTTGACCGATGGTAAAAACTGACCAATCTTCTTCAGCGGCTTGAAGTATGTTTTGATGGAAGCGCGTTTCAAGATGTAGCCAATCTTGTCAGTGACTCCTCTAACATATGGCAGTACAGCAGGTACACGCTCGACTGTGGCCGGCTTCACTCGTTCACTGTGACGTAGGCGCGGGACTCGAAGCTTGTTGTCATGCAAAACTTGCTTGACATGGTGGAGCTCTGCAGCCAGGTGTTTACTGTCACAGATCCCTCGTGCTCTCTGAAACAAAGATTTACCCACGGTAGCTAACTGTGAAGGATGGTGGTGAGAATCACCGTTTAAATATCTATATGTATGGGTCGAAACGTCGGGTATTTAAAAAGTTAAAATATACGCGATAAATTCCGTAAAAACTTGTATTATTTCAATGTGTAGTGTTCGCGTAAATATAAGAAATCATTTCCAATTTAGTTTTTGATCAATCCATATACCTAGGAATTTTGTCATATTTGTACTTTTTAGTGTTTGTCCTTCAAAATTAATGTTCATTGTCTGGTATAATATGTCATTGAAATTTATAAAATAAGTTTTGTCAAGATTTACAAGTAGGTTGTTATTTTTAAGCCATTCTATTATTGTTTTTACAGTACTGTTAATATCATTAATGTGATCTTTAAGTGATTGTTTACCATCTGTTTTTACTATTACATATATGTCGTCAGCAAATAAAATGCATTTGTGTTTAGTTACATCCGGAAGATTATTTATATATACTAAGAACAACAGTGGTCCCAAAACGCTACCCTGTGGAACTCCATATTTGTTTTCTTTAAAATCTGATTTGTGATTTAGGACCACATGATTACTGTTTGGTTTGCTTATTTCAACAGATTGACGTCTATTTTGCAAGTAACTTTTAATCCAACTTAAAGCAGTGCCTCTAATGCCACATTTTTCCAATTTTACCAGTAATGAATTATGTGATACAAAATCGAAAGCCTTCGACATGTCAAAAAGAGTGCAGTTGTATAATTATTAGCATTAAGGCATGTTAGTGTCTCATTTACCATATCGAAAACAGCATGTGTAGTAGATTTTCCCCTCTGGAACCCATACTGAGTGGGATTCAGGACATGATACTTGTCAAAGAACGATGTGTGTTTAGTATGCATAAGTTTTTCATATACTTTTGACAAAATTGGCACGAGCGCAATAGGGCGGTAATTGTTCAAAATTGATTTTTTGTCTTTTTTGAATAAAGACTTAATCAAGGAAAATTTAAGTTTATCAGGAAAGATACCATTTTAATTTATAATTATATATTTATAGAACCCAACCAGATGAGAAAACTATATAAATACCCCACATAATAATAATGTCTTCCAGACCGAATTTCGGTCACGGGGGCCAGCTTCAACGGAAAATAGCCAGACCAGCCAATTCACCCAGGACAAGATTACAGTGCCCGAGTGTATGCGCAAGCACAGGTGCACTCTCTGATCCCTCACTCTCATAATCCGATGTGACGGTAAACCGACACGATCGGAGAGAGATCAGGCGCCGGACCAACGGCTTTCACACTGCATTACCACAGACATCTGACATTATCGATCTGAAAATGAGGGTACACTGTAAGCAATCTACAACTAGGCCTTTTCTATATCACCTATCTTTAAGCTTAGCGGGTAAATCAGCATTAAAAACGCGATTAACAATTTCATTAGTGTCGTCCGGGGTGCGAATTTTGGTAGTGAAATTTACCTCGATCGCTTAGCCTTGAGCTATCATGGCTCTACTTCCCTGAGCCCCGCCGTGAGAATACTATTGTCGTTCAGTAAGTTATCCCCTTCCCGACCTTTATTTTCCCAAATTCAAGTGAATTAATACAACTTTGTACGTTGAATTCTGCCGCCAAATCTACCGTGATTTGAGATTAATCCGCTTATATGATGGCTTTGAATTAGTCATATCCGGTGATCGGAGTCCGGTCGCCCACTAGGCTCATTATCACTTTTTTTTCACGGTCGCAAAGCAGACTCGGCATTATGTGAAAACAAATGAACTACATAATGTTTTATTAAAATATTACGTCATACGATATTATTTTAAATTTAGAATACTAAGGCGAATATGAGATCAGTATCTTCATTTTTAAAAAAATCGATAAATTAAAACCAGCCAGTATTTAAAGGTAGGTTTTTTTACTTATTGCAATTTAAAATATTTTTTTTAAATTAAGTTACATATCAACTTCAGCCTACTCCAAATTCAAACAAAGAAGGCAACATATGCGTTGTCACCGCTGAAGACTAGTGTACTACCTCACACCAAGTAATTATACTGGCTCTATATCCTTCAGACTGGAACACAGTAGTACAACCACTGCAATTCGTTATCAGAAATAAGTAAGAAGATGGTAGTCAGGCGGACTTTTAGACAGAAGAGGTGGCCTATCATCGAATTGTTGCTTTGAGGGTAGTCATATGACCGCATAAATTCAGTCTTTACGGATTTTAAGTGCCTGCATTGCTGTGTTCCTGGTTGAAGGGTATATAGAGCCAGTATAATTGCAAACTGCGTGGCATTCATATTGGTCCTCAGGGACGGCAACGTGGTAGTATTTAGTTGTTAGTGTTATACGTGGTAGAGTCAGGAGCCACGCTGCAACTATATTATGGTTGTAGCACAAATGGGCCGGCTCGAACGAGGACGGACCACTCTCTCACAGAATACCAGCGTAAAATAGCAGATTAATACTGCTATGTTTCGTATGGTGAGTGTAGAGATCCGGAGACCCTTTTTTAGTGGAAACGAGGTATTCCATCTTAGGCCTCAGGGGTGACAACGTATCTGCGTTTTGATTCTTAATCGAGGATAGATGTAGATGTCTATGGGCCACAGCATCCACTTACCATCAGGTGGACTGTGTCCTCGTTTGTCACCCTTATCCTATAAAAAAGACGGCAACGCAGCTGTAGCCTTCTTTATTTTTCTGCTGGTGTCGATTAACTGCAATAGCCACTTACCATCAAGTGAACTGTAAGTTCGCTTGTTAATTCAGTTTTATAAAAAAAAAACATTTTTAAGACGTGTTATCAAACGTTTAAATCTGCAGCCTGTTGATGATAGGCACTCTCAGATCTGTTAATGCTCTACGAGTTCAGTACAGTTAACTTTGCTGGTCTAGTCGGTTGTAAGCGCGATTGGTGGACGTGCGGTCCTGGGTTCTAAAATCGGGTCGAACCATAATCAGTTATTAGGATATGTATTTAAAAAAAATTCTGGGCTTGATTATCTAATATGTAAAAACTAATATTGTTTGTTTGTTTTTTATGCGCTGCCATACCGTTCAGATTGCGTTAAAACTTTTTTTTTATAGAATAAGGGTGATAAACGAGCATACAGTCCACCTGATGGTAAGTGGATGCTGTGGCCCATAGGCATCTACATTTAACCCAGATTAAGATTTAAAATGCAGATGCGCTGTCACCCCTGAGGACTAAGATGGAATGCCTCGATTCCAGTAAAGACGGGTCTCCGGTTCTCTACACTCACCATACGAAACACAGCAGTATTGCTATTTCACGCTGGTATTCTGTGATAGCGTGGTCCTTCCACGGTCGAGCAGACCCATTCATGCTACAACCATAATATAGCTGCAGCGTGGCTCTACCACGTATAAAAACTTATTTTATTATTATATATTATTTGTGAACTTATTGCTTCCACTTGCGCGAAGGTTACAACTTATAAGCACAGGACAAATTTGTTTAATATCATCATTATCGTTCCTAATTAAAATAAATATAATTCTTCCGAATTTAAAATATTTTCACAATTATTTCTTCCGCGGCAGCATCGCGCCGGTACCAGCGATGTAAAATAAATAAATGTAATTAATGTAAATAAAATAATTGTACCATTAACTTCCAGTTCTTCATAAGGGCCATGATCCTGAGGTGCGCGTGACACGCGGCTGTGGCTGGATGAGGCACAACCGCGAGTGCTATAAAGCCGACAATGAGGATCACCTGGAGACGGTGTGCCAGTGCTTCACAGACGAATGTAACACTGGAGTGGCGTTGGGGTACAGCGCTGGTATTGTGGTAGTCCTTGGTCTTTTAGTTCTGTGCTTCTAGTAAATAAATTGTTTTAGTACATAACGATTGTGTTTTATTTAACTAGCCAACAAAGCTTAATATTTATTTACGTCACTTTTTGTAATAATTTTTTTCGTGGTGAGAAGGCAAAGGAAGCTCACCTAGTACAGCCCACTGTCATGATCAACATGCTTCCATTTAATTGATTACAGTGTTCTTTATTCTAAAACTGAAGTGATAAACGAACAATTAGTCCATCTACGGTAAGTGGCTATTTGAGCCCAAGGCCATGTGAAGTCAAGTTTTACCTAGCCGCATACATAGAGTGTAGAGGATGGACAACTGTGCTTTAAGGTTTTGTACGCCACATGGCACGTTTTAGAAATTCTTTTCCATTCCCTAGAAATACCAGGGTTCAGCAGTGCACTAAAAAGCTAAAATGAATAAAGAACAGGACACCCTTTTTAAACTATAAACGAGCCATTCCGTCTTATTTAAGGTATCCTCATTTTATGTAATTTTATACGATTAATATTACAATTAAAGTTTATAAAAATTTGAAAACAATAGGCCTGTTAGGTAATGCAAGCATATTCAATAAGAAAAAGATGTTAGATTAAAGTTGGAAGGAATGACTTCGCCCATATCCGCTCAATAAAATGAGATGATGTGTCTTACCTAGTCACTTACTGTTGACTTAGCGGTCAGCCACCACCGTCATCACCTGAGGATGCCTCGTGTAGAGGCGAAGTACGTGTCGTATTATCGTCGATGGTGAATCTTTCGGAGTGTAGTGGTGTTGGGCGTAGTGGTGCTGGGATTAGTGGTGACGGGGTTAGTGCACGCAATTGAGGGAGGGTTGAAGGTGCTCTTCAAACTAGGTAAGACACATCATTTTATTTTATTGAGCGGATATGGATGAAGTAATTCTTACCAGCTTTAAAATATAAGTAATGGATCTCCGAAAAGTAACGCCTGATTCTATTAATTATCTTAAAATATGTTAGAATTTTAAGCTTATCAGTTGCATAGCAAACAAATACGATTTTTCATTAAAAACTGTATTTGACATTTTTGGTTTTATTATCACATCCCTATTAACTTAATAAATTGGCAACCCTAGTCACCACGCTGACTGCAGCAGCAGAGGACACTGGCCTAAATATTTAAACAACAAAAGGCCGGAAACGTGCGATCATGTCCAGTCGTACCGACGAATACGCTTTTGTAAAGTTTGACAATAGCAACAGAGAGTATACCAACCACAGAGTAGAATAATTACTAAAAAAAATAACCACTACGGTTTAAAAAGCAATACTGACGCAATATGCACACAACGTCATATAGGATGTTAAACTAAAAATGAGAAATTTTTGAAAAATATCTAAAACATAGATATCTTAGTTAAAATACAACGAACTTTTTAAATTTTTACTGACACTAGGTGGTTTTATATTCGGTGATCCTTATTTCTCAGTGAATGTTTTTGTTACATCGATCCTCATTTGAGTATCAAAGAGCAGGTGCGATGTCGTCTCTGAGAACAAAGAAATGCCTCATTATCAGTCAAAATGTTTCCAGTTCATGATAGACGCCCTACGAAGCAAGACGGAATTATGCTGCTATTTCATTGGTATTGGTCGAGCAATGAGGCAGACCAATGAGGCAGTCATAAATTCTAAGTATCTATAAATTAACTGTAAATGGATTAAATTTAGAGTAGAATAATATTAAATATGATATTTTATATGTCCATGATATGATGTTAATATTAATTATTTAAAACAATTGTTTGTCTAGGGATCTGATGAAATAACGTTGAATGTTTTCAATGCGTTATGAAGAAACTTTGTTAAAAGGACACCACGCAACACTAGCGTACTCTAAATGGCTTCTCACGAGTGCATTACATAGTAGAATTTTTGAATGCACAGATTCATGCACAGATGAATATAAATCAATGGCACAGACCTGAAATTTCTTCAGTTTTGTTTTATAAACCGTAGTATTTGTGATTTTTTACGATCGCATATTTTAAGTGGCTTAAAGGTTAGCAGCCCATGTAGTGAGCACGCCTGGATCTCTTTTTCATGATATCTGTTGCATTTAATTTTGATGAAAAAAATAAATTATCAAAATAAATCGATTACACAAAGTATAAAATCGATATAGGCTGTGTAATTTGCCCTTTGCTAGGGCTAAATATATATTATGAAAGCGCCTTTAATTTTTTAATAGCAATAAATGTTATGAAAATTGAAAATCATTTTATTAACAAACTACGCGTACTAGGCTATTGATATGTAATTGATATGAAAAAGGGAACCAGTTCATGTGATTCTGAATCTGAAGCTAATAAAAAGAAACCCGGTCTCGATACGACAATTTTTCCGTAATTATCGTGACCACATACAAAATTGACGTAGGTGCAGACATTTGCACCTCCACGTAATTTTTTTTTTCAAAGTAGCAATATAAAATGATTTGTTTAGATAATATAAGATGGATTAATTAGTGTTTCTTGATATACGGCTACTCATATTATTGTGTAATATGGTTAGGACTTATGATCTAAAAATTGCTTAACCTTGACGTGTCCGGGGTAAAGCACTACCTCAAACGTTTCGCGTTATGTTATGACTAGGTATGAGGCGTGCAATAAGAACTGGTATATTTTGATGTTGTAATAATAAAATGATTAAATTTAGAACGTAGAACATATAAGTAAATAAAATAAATAAACGATTCAATGTACAAATAACATAATATTTGATACAATAAATATATTAATACAATTGAATGCTATTATTTTAAAAAGTTGCCATCTAGCGGCGATATCTTGTACTAATACAAGTTTCACAACTTTTATTGATAAGTATATAGGCGATGCAAAGATTATCCGCACGCCTCTAGTGGCGAAATTTAGAAGCTGTCTAAGGACGACATTTGTTTTTTGTTTATTTGTTGAGGTTATGTTTAGATTATTCAGATGGATCACGATTATATACGGAAACCTGTTGCTAATAAAAGCAGAAATACGAAATATTGTTGCGTTTCTCAATGTAGTACTTACGGAGATACGGGAATAAGTTTTCATTTATTCCCAAAAGACAAAATTATGAAGAAAAAATGGAAGACTGCTTTAAGAATAGGCAAGCCAATTTCACCATCAATGAGAGTTTGTTCTCATCATTTTCAAGCTTCAGACTTTTTTCCAAACAATAAGTATAATTATGTTTTAATTATTTTATTGTACATAAATTATATTTATATGTATTTCCTATGTTATTCATTTAGTTTACGCTAAGGCGAGTTTCTCGTCAGATAACGAGATTATTTATTGTTCCAGATTCTAAAAGGCAGAAGTTGTTTCCTTATGTCGTACCGTCTCAGAATATTCCTAAAAAAAGCTCTGATAAAGAAGTACCATTAGCCCAAAAAATAAAATCAATTGCTCGAGGAAATAGGGCTGATATTAGACACAGGAATATAGTGGAATCAAATAAAGAGCTTGGACTTGCTATTGAGAATGAAGAAACTAAATTTGAAGATGGATTTGAGGACAATAATATAACTGATAACAACAGTCATCTTCATGTCATGACTTCATCGACACAAGTCAATTTAGTGAATTACAGAAATTATCGTCCCCGAGAAGATTGGAGTATAGCTGACATTCTTTGTGACAAAGAACCTTTGGAAAAGTGCACTCAAATAAATTTTCTTCCTATGTGGGAAGAGGATAGATCAGCTTTAAAGCAATTAACCCTCTCAGGTTTACTCAGTAGTGATATGTATTTATTTACTTTTACGGGTATTCATTCAATAGAACTTTTAGAAACATTGGTGACTTGTGTTAGTAAATTGGCCTTAGATGCTCCAACAAATAAGAAAATGTTATCTGTAAGAGACAGAGTTATTTTGACAATGGTAAAAATTAAACAAAATATGTCATTTAGAGCCATTGGTGTTTTGTTTGGTATAAACAGGCAGACATGTTCTAATTATTTTAATAATATGTGCCCCATGCTGAGTAGAGTACTCAAAGTTGTTATTCCTTGGCCTTATATTGAAATGATACGTAGCAACCTAAATCATTCCAAAAATATAAAAATACAAGAATTATATTAGACTGTGCTGAAACTGTGATTGAAAATGTAAATGTTTAAAATGTAGAATATTGACATACTCTCAATATAAAAAAACAATACAGCGATGTTTAATATTGGAATAACTCCTTCTGGCCTTATAACTGAAATAAGTGTATCTTATGGTGGTCGAGCATCAGATAACATATTGTAAATGAAAGCTTAAATAAATGCAAGTTTAATGATGGAGTGATGGTGGATAAAGGATACAGGATTGAATCTGAATGTAATGAAGTTAGTTAAGGATATTAATTGAATAGTTAGTACAAATAACATTTGATTAATTATGCAATGTATTTACATATTAATGTTCTTGTTACAGCGTCTGCTTCAGCTTGTCAGGCCTCCTTTCTTGAGTCAGAAAAAGCAGATGACCAAAGAAGATGCAATCCGCACTGCAGAGATTGCATGGGCAAGAATGCATGTTGAAAGAGTGATACAGAGATTACGACAATGTAATGAATGAAACTTCTATGTGGACCATTACCATGGTCACTGTCGCCTTATTTTGATGATATATTAATTATTGTTGGTGGTCTTACAAATTTGGGTCCACCAATTATTCACATTGATAAATTTATGTAGTTGTTGAAAATTATATCTAAAAGCGAAACAAGGGAAGCCTATGAATAGGAAGGGTATTGTAGGAGTGGCAATAAATTTTTACAGTGAATAAATAATTTAGTACACAGAGTTGTATTTATTTTTATTCAAATTCAGTCATAATTTGATCCATACTCATTAACTATTCTAGGAAGAAATTTCTCAAAATAAACATTAACAAGACATACACAAATTTCCAAAACTATGATTTTCATCAAATGAAACTCTTCTTACAGCTAAATCCTTTCCTATTTCAGAGTAAACTAAATAATAACATTCTGTAATACCTGACAATAACATACCTACTTGCATTTGAGTATAATGCTGAGTATTTTTTTTTTTCAAATTTTGATTTTGATCCAATATAGGAATTGCATTCATTTCTATAAGTTCATCTGCAGTTAAACGAGTTCCTTCCTTTAATGTCTTAATCTCAATATTTCTAAGAAAATTTCCATCTTTATCCATGGCAGTACCGTCTAGACTTGCAGAAAGCCATGGTAATTCTGGTCGAACCAGCAATCCAGACTCTAAAATCATGCAGCTATAATGCTCTGCATATAAATCTCTTGCGACTGCTTCACAGCGAAGGCCTCTGATAGTATCTTCATTCTCAAGGAAATTACTGTGAAAAACCTCTTGATATCTTTTATCCCAATCAGCATTTTTATTAGAATAATAAGTAAACTGGGCTCTCGCTTTGGAGGCTGTTAGTCTTACTTTTCTAGCTTTATGCCAAGAAGGAGTACCCTGCTCAGCATTGATTATTTCTGTACTTTGGTCTAATGATACAGCTACATATCTGTTGTAAAATTCAAATTCATTTACTTCACATGTCTTCAACTTTTCTTCAGTCAGTTTTCTTAATACATTCATTACCCGCCACGAATTAAAAGTCAATAGTTTTTCAGGAAATTTTGCCTTGTCTACACTTCTACTAATTACCCATAATCAACAACTCCATCACCTCTTCGCATGAGACTTGTAAATAAAGAATATTCACTGTTTGGTGTGCCTGAAATAAACAACATAATTTTTGAAACTTCATTTTAGTTTGTAACTGTACATTCAATCTGCAAATATAATATTTTTTATCAAATTGATGTTTTCCAGGTAGGTGCCATATACTCTTATGCTTTACAAGTATTTACTCTGCATTAACTTCATTCTCCAACGACTTTCCATCTCTTCAGTGACTTCTGGCATTGTTTTCACATAGATGTCCCTCTGTCCTTTCACATGGCACATTTCAGACAATGATTTTGCTTCGTATTCCTTCAATGCTGTAGTTTTAAGTGTACCCCATTGTTTCTCAATGTCGGTACAACTCAGGTCCTCCAGATCTGCCTCCTCAGTTCTGAAAAAGAGAAAAATAGCTAATCATTTACAATTATGGTATAATTTTAGTACTTATATAGCTAAGTACTTTACATTATCTATTACCTGGCAGTAAAATTGTTACAGACAGACAGCCAGAGTAATTTAGGTACCTACTTTAACATTTATAGTATTCATAGTGCATATGGATGAGGTAGGACAAATGGATATAAAAGTTATTGATCAATTCACAAACCTTGAGAGATAAAGCATGACAGCTAATATGTGTTTACATTTCTCTGAAGCTCCAGCAGGGCAATCGCAGACCTTTGTGACTTCTTGTTCATTATCACCAACTAATCTATTTCCATATTCTTGAGATACATCTATCCACAGTTTTATAATGGCTGGATGTTTGGAATTTAATCCCGACGTGCGCAGTACCAGTGCTTGTACGTGAATTATGTTATTATTTTTCTCCTTTTTTTCCAACCGAAATCACCATTCCACTCCGTAATAATTTTTCACCAGAACGCATTGGTTTTGTGTATCCTGCAGACGCATTAATTACATCGACTATTGACAACATAATTATTGTCTTAAACAGCAAAATGCCACATAAATCTTATTTGTATTTAATATTTATGTTTTTCCCTGACGTTAACTGTTACGAAAACTGTCAAAGTGTCGTTCTTAGACAGATTCACAATTTTGACACTAGAGGCGCTAGTTAGAATCTTTGCATCGTCAATATAACGTCAATAAAAAATTGTAATTTTTATAATTATTTTACGTTCACTGCGTGCAAACATTATAATAATAGGTACTCTGTGATACAACATAAACAAATTATTTTGTCAGACAAGAAAGTCTCAGTTAAATGATTTTCATTTATATTTTTTTTTATTTACACACACACCCTTACAAGCTAAACAAACCGACTACGATAGCGTTGCTAACCTACTCATACAACTAACTTACATTACGCTAGTAAACTAGTAATATATTATAAGTCAATGCTTACATAACGATGTATAATATAGGTATATAGCTTCTCGTTTTTAAGTTACTGCCACTTGAAGTAAGAAGTGACATTTCAGATTTAATGTTCGTATTATGGAGTGTAGAGATAACTCCATGGTTCGTACACAAGCTGTTCCATAGTAAGATAGACTGTCCTCCTTTGCTAAATTCCTTTTCTTTCAGAATACCTTCTCGGCTTCAAGAAAACCTGTTCAAATTATGAACCCACCAATGCGTAGGACTAAACTTAGTCGTTTCTCTCCTGTTCCTAGATTGAGTAGATTTTACAATGAATGCAGCACATCGGTAGATTTTAACTTTGATCAGATCAGGGACTTTATCATGAAAATATCTTCTGTAATTTGTTAAAAACATAACTTAAAATAGGTTTGAGAGATGATTTTTCTTTTACAATAAATAACTTATTATTATTAAATGCATGATGAGTTCGCCTATAAGTAGTTATGCACTTAGTACAAGACATGTTGGAGCTTGTATTTTTTATTCAAATGTATTATCTTGTAACCTTATAACTGTTGGAGAACCTAATAAATAAAATAAAAGTACCTACCTTAGCGAGTACACTCAGATTACCCGAAAATATATCAATCCTCTCGTGAACTATGTTCACTACGAGGATTGTTCGGACTAGAGTTGAGTCACTAAACAAATTAGTTTTAGCCGTAGCCATGTTATATAGAAATACTCGTCATCATCAAATATAAAAAATTGAAAATGCCTCCTACACCATAGTATTAGGTCAGATAGCGCTCGCTGTAAATTTCACAGTACGCGAGCAAACCGGGTTCGATCCCCGCCGGCACCAATGAAATTGTTAATTGCAATTTTAAGTGCTGATTTACCACGTGCTCGGCGGTGAAGGAAAACATCGTGAGGAAACCTGCATGTCAGAGAAATAAGAAAAAAATACGCATATAATAATATGTACATACGCATTGGGGCAGCGCGGCGGACAATTCCTTGCCCTAAAACCCCCTCAGAAATGAGCGGAGGCCTGTGCCCAGCAGTGGGACGTATATATAGACTTTAACTTAATTTAACTTATGCGCCTAATAGTAGTCTCGCCCCCAATACCAGCCTGTTCGCATTTTCCTTCAAAAATAGGATTTCTAGTGACCTTTACTACAAAAATTGTCAGTTATAAAATTATTCGTAAATAAAGAAAAATTTTCTTATTTAAAATAATACCACACTGTTATTTAAATCTATCAATGATTAGTTGAAAACCAAAACACCTACGCAACGGACAACGCTCATTTTCCTAATTTTTGCCCGACTTAAAAAAAGGAGAAGGTACTCAATTCGAGAGTTTTTTTATGTGTTACCTCAGAACTTTTTTCTAGGTGAACCGATTTTGATAACTCTTTTTTTTATTTAAAGCTGGTGTTTCTCATGTGGTCCCATATAAAATTGAAACACACACCTCACAAAATCTGGACAGGAGTTTTTGGGTTATCCTTAATAATGCGTATTGAATTGATTTTAATATAATTATTTATTTACTTGCACCTTAACAAAAGGATTATAAAGAGCGTAACACTCCCATTTAACCCGGGATGTGTGGAAAATAACGTGATAGGCGACAAAAAATAAAATAAACTTACTTATCTTCACGCGCAATCCCTAACGGGGTAGCCAGATAAAATAATATAAAATAAACAATAGAGTAAATCAAGAAAAAACTACTGATAAACTTAAAAATAGGCTAATCTTAATATATATAAATTACGTGTCACTGTCACGTTGTTTGTCCGCAATGGAGTCCTAAACTACTTAACCGATTTTAATCAAATTTGCGCACCGTGTGCAGTTTGGTTCAACTTGAGAGATAGAATAGTTTTTAGCCCATGAGTGAGCCACAATTTTTTTTTGCGAATTTAAGAATTTTTAATAGGACATGACAAAGGGTTGTCGAAAAGGGCAGAACAACGTCTGCCTGGCAAGCTAGTATTATATATTTACATAAATACAACAAACTTATATAGTATAAAATTTAATACAGACACTTAATATATATTATTACATATACATACATAAATATATACATATTTTAAGTACAAATAGATATATAACTTATACCTATAAATAAAATAAAAACAAAGGTAACCAAATTGACCATACAATCACAGTCTATAACATAGATATACTGTTTTTTATATTTCTATGGTCTATAATGATACCACCATCTGATATTTACACAAAGTGCTTATGCACAGTCTTATTAGATATGTTTCTAACGTCATCGGGCAAGAAGTTCCGGAACAGTGCAGCCTGAATGGTGAAGAACAACTAGTAAAATGTATTGGGATACTTAGTTTATTATTATACGAGGAACGCAGAGTTCTATCATGCGTTGAGGAAATATACTGAAATTTGTCCTAGAGATAAGGAGTGGATGGATCGTTTAAGATAGAGAAGAGAACAAGCGAAACTCTGGAGTCACGCCTCTGTTTAATGAGCGATAAGGCGAGAGCGATAGTGACAGATACGATCATATTTACGAACACTGAAAATGTATCTGATGCGGCTGTTGAGAAGGCATTCTAGCTTGTTAAGAAGATTTTGGTTTAAGTCCGGGTAACACACGTCTGCATAATTAATAATCGGTAGTATAAGTAACTACTACTATGTATAAGCATTATTTTAGTCTTATTACATCATCATAATGGCTTCCTCTATAGAGTGCCATGAAGGTGAAGTACTGTCTTCAGCCACATTGCTTTTCATGAATTTTTCATTTATATACTAAGTTATAATTATTTTTGCTTGTTTTCGTCTTATAAGATGTTCTTAATTATTTATATGTCATCTATCATATGTCTGATAGAAAATCAAGGACTCTCTCTTGCTAAAATTTCAATTTACAAACCAATTTTATAACATAGACGACTCCCCGTCGTCTAAAATCTCAAAATAAGTTTTGTCCTAGTTATTGGTATTATATTTATACCAGTTTCTGACAACCTTGATTTGTATTACGTGGCTGAAATACTTTTATACGCTCCATACATTTCCAATCCCATTAATTTCCTCTAAAAGAAAATGAAAAACCTATAACTTTATTCAAAAATAACCATAACTAGGTACGTCTGCCCCCTACTAGGTTGTAACTGTATATACAATGTACTCTGTGGTTGTAACGGAGCGGTGGGATGGGAAGAACGCTCCTTTAGGTGAACTGTGCGAACTAGTTCGTCGAAGTAGTTCTCTGAAGTTCTTGACGTGTTATAAACATTGTGATATCTACGTAATATCCTATAAATAAGGATGTTTGTTGAATGATTATCAATAATCTAATTATAGTTGATCAGTACAGTTTTAATATAAATTATATTCTAAGATATAAGTTAACATAAATTATATTTTATGAAGAGTTTATTTTTTCATTATTAGGTATTTCTTTAAGTGATTTTATGTATCATAAGTAATAAGGAAAGCTCTTTATTGACCGATTATCAATAATCTAATAATAGTTAATTAGTATGTTTTACTAGATTTAAATTATGATCGAAAAAAATTATTTTCTCATTATTATTGTTGTAAGCTGTGAGTGATTTTATATGCCATAAATAGGTATATGTTTGTGTTGTAATTAGGGTTGCGACCTTTTTTTGGACAAATACAGTATTTTTCCCAAAAAAGAAGCAAAAATATAGTACTTTTGAGAAATTTAGGAGAAAAAGGAGGTTTATGTATTTTTCCATAATATATTATATTTGTATCGCTCTTTTCTTTGGCCTTCAATTATCTATTACCTTAAAAATAATAGGAGTCTTAGCAATTTAGATTCATAGTAAAATAAATATATAACAATTAGATTTTATTAAAATTAATATATGCTCTATTTCTTTCTTCTTTCAATTTTACTAAAAATTCTTTCCGTAAAACTTACTTGTTCCAGACTTTGAATTTCAATCACAGTTAACGACAGTTTTATTGGGGATAAAAATATAGTATTTTTCGTACTACATTATTTATGTATAATATATAGTACAATTGACTGAAATATGGTACGATACTATATTATAGTACGGGCAACCCTAGTTGTCATTGTAGTTTAGCCCCCATGACGGTATATAGTGTTAAGGCAGAATAGAATACATTTAGGATATTAAATTAATAAAGTCATAGCAATTTCTCTCCTTTTCTTTTAACACCTTTTAGATATAAATAATATTTCGTACTTTTTAAATGAAAATAAACAGAATTTGCAATAATTACAAATAAACATCTTTTTTTTTTAATTAGACCTACTGAAAAATTAAAAAAAAAACTAATGATCTAGTTTGCTACATGACTGCGAAATGAGAACTTATTTGAGCGCTTCCAATGGTGACCAACTCTGCTTATGGCCATGCCTAGTATACTCGTAAATTTCAGGTATACGAAAAGTACTCTGTGCTCATAAACTGCGCCTGAATTACTAAGGCGAGATAGAAACTTGCTATCTTGATAACCTCACTCAGTATTAAGAACAATACTACGTATAATGTGAACTTGAAGGATGATTGTGATTTGTGAAGCAATTCCAAGGTTAACTTACCACCACATGACTATAATATCCTTATAATCCTTAAAATATTAACAAATTAACAATAGCTTTAGCTTTAGTTTAAAACTTAATCGTCGATTACTGATTATTGAGTGATAATATGTGGGCCGATCCCGGCGGCACTGCAATGCCGGGCCGACCCGTGACGGGAGTGGAGCGAGCCCCGAACATCCCGTCGTTTTACAAAAATCAGTTTAATATACTGGTCCCGCAGTGCGGGAACTTTCAGATATTAAGCTGAAAAGAACAGATTTTTTATCTAAAATACTGCCCACCAATGGAGGGTATCAAAACGGATATAATCCCGTAATTTTGCTCGTATTTATATTGTATTTAAATTTTGTTTACTTTAATGAACAACAGCTCTTATTCATATAATCATGTTTGTCCTTAATTATGAATTAATAAATAATTTAATTGATGGAATCAAGATTGGACTATAAAGAAGGAAAAAAAAATTAATTATATCATCCAATTGATAAATAAATCAAATAAACCATAAATTAATAAATTTGTGAGTAAATTAATGAATTCATAATAAAGCATCAATTAATAAATACGAGTAATCATTGAATTAATAATAATAAAATAATATGTTAGAAATTTTAAAATGATAGTCATAAAAAAGTCAACGAAATAAAAACAAAAAAAAAAAAAAAAAAAAAAAAAAGTCAACAAAAGGCTCAGTCAAAACGAACATAAAAGTAGTTTAACCTATAGGAACATAAGATTATATCTTAACGACATTACGTTACGACCTAACATTGAACGATCGATCCAAGTCATGCTGCACTGTGTACTGTCGTATCCCACTTACGTGCTCCACATATATGTCCCGAGACCATCTAATTGTATCACTTATCATGAACCTTCTCATCATGCCAGCGTAAAAGCGACCAATGTTAAAGAAATCCAAAACTCTTTGGTTGTTTTCATCCCATCCACCCAATGAACCCACTACAAACGCGTTGACTCTTACCCGATATCCTCGTGCCCTAAGTTGTTCTGCTAAGCAACTATACTTTGTGATCTTTTCCATTCTTGCTGCCCTGAACGCAGCCGATCTGTTTTCGAACGGAACAGTCACATCTACAATTTTAATTTCTTTATTAATCTCATCTCTAACCACAATATCAGGTCTCAGTAACGCTGCTGTTCCATGTGTTCCCTCAACAGTTTGGTTAGTACTGACTAGTCCCGGGCATCTCAGTGCTTTAACGAGTCTGCTTTGAATATTATTGTGCCTTAGCTGTCGCGCTGCAGAGTGTACCCCACAATGGTTCAATACATGCGGGATGGTCTCCTGCTCTCGACCACATCTCCTACATCTTTTGTCGATATCTACTTGCCATCTTTTTGTGGCATTCAGTGGCAAGACACCAAGCCGCGCACGGTGAACAAATCTCCAGTCACAGAAGCGAGTATTCCTTCCACTTCTGAGAAAATGGTTTGAGAAACCAGTTTTGCGAGTCACCTCAAACACCTTTCCCTGGTCCTTTTTGGCCTGGAGCTTACTGGCATAGTATTGAACCAGCTGTGAACGCATTTTTTTAAATAAATTGTGTCTTAATGACGGCGTAATCCTTCCTGCAGCGCCATTCCCGCACTGAATTAGAAATTCCTCTTCCTCACGGTGCCATATCCATCTGATACTAAATTTATTTTGAATTCTTCGTGCCGCACTTCGCGCTTTGGTCCAAAACGATGAACGCGACGAGGATCGGGGCAGGTCCAAATCACCAGAGAGATAACGAGCCATATCGATGTTACTAGGCACTTTTCGAAGTCTCTCCGACACAGTTTCCAACAATCCCTCCCTCGCTAGTACACTCACTAGATCATCCGTAGCACATAATATTTTAAAAGCATGCGTTACGGTGTATAAGTCGAGCAGGTCGCTTAATGGCATTAAACCTCCACCTCCCATAGAAGGTGGCAGAAAAACTAATTCTGAGCTGGCTCTCTGAGGAAGATTTAACCATCTTTTGGCAAAATTTTTAACGTTCCTATCTATTTCCCTCATGTACTCCTTTTCAACGTCAGCCCCTTGCATGATGAAATACAAACGAGGCAGGATAAAGGTGCCGACTGCGTCCAATTTCTGCCATGGTGCCAGGAGAGATTGGTCAATTTTCTTGACATCCGCGATTAGTCTTTTCAATGCGCTCGTTGGAGTCTGTCTTATGTCAAAGCCCGTTGGTATTCCGAGATGTTCATAGCAATCGTTCGGGCCCATTGATTTCATAGGATCTCCCTGGATGTTGAAAACTGTGTCTTGTACTGCGCTCTCACAATCACACTTCATATGCAGTGTCGCGCATTTGGCGGGATTAAAGACGAGACCAACCGACTGAGCGCCCTCCTCAGCTGCATTGAGGAGACGTCTCATTCCTTCTGGGGAGTCCGCAAGGATTGCGATGTCATCGGCATAGGCCAGAGTTGTAACACGCTTATTTCTTATTTTAATACCCTCACCTGTCGACTCCATGGCGCGGATAACCACCTCCAGGGTGAGATTAAATATATGCGGACTAAGCGGGCAACCCTGTTTCACTCCGGACTGTAGCTTGATTGGATCAGTGAATCCCTCCGAGGTACGAACTTTAGTAATCGTGTTTTTGTAGAGCGAATCGATTAGTTTCCTTACTTTTACTGGCATTCCGTGATGTTCAAGAGCCCTATGGATAGACGAGTGCGGTACGGAGTCAAATGCACTGGCTAAGTCCAGCCAGGCGACAACCACCTCTCCTTTATCGCGCCTGGCTTGTTGGATGGTCTCCTGAAGAACAAAGTTGTGTTCATAGCATCCCTCGTATGGAAGAAATCCCTTTTGTGATGTGCTGTATCTTCTGTTGGCGATTGCCCAGGTCTTGACTCTGTCCGCAACTATAGCGGCAAAGAGTTTCGGGCACGTATCTCCCATCGCAATAGGTCGCCAATTGGATATGTCACTCTCCGGTCCTTTCTTGTGTAGTAGTATAGTATTGGAGTCCTTCCAGCAACCAGGCACTACTTCGAGCCGCCACACTGCATTGAACAATGCTGTCAATACAAAGGCTCCTGGGTCCGCCTTTCTAAGATCACCATATGTTAATCCATCCGGTCCGGGTGAGGTATTAGATTTATATTTTATATTTTAATTTTCTTATTACTTCCTTCCTTTCGAAGACTTTAATCAATTCCGATTCGCTTTGACTCGTGGGATCATCCTGATTGAATACATCAGGCCACACTTGATCTCCGTTTCGCGGAGCGGTCATTTTTGTAAAGTATTGCTCAATAGATGATTTTGAAATTTCGCAGTACCTAGCAGGCCCGTTGAGCACTTGTTGCACGGTTTTTTTGCGATTTTTCCGATATTTTCTTTGAATATGGGCAGCCTCACTCATTCGATCTACAGCTCGCGCGTCTGTTCGATGCCGCTGTAATCGCCGTCCGCCATCATGTTCCGTATGTACGGGCCTACCTAGGAAAGACATGGTCCTACGGGCAACCTCTTCCAGTTCTTCGGGGCTGCTCACCGAGTCAATCTCTTCCATAAACCGACTCTGTTCTGCTGTGGGACAGCGACGATTTTGCGGCCTACGAGAGGAGTCCATATTCACTAGGCTCTCATTTGAATGCACCACGTTTCTCCGAACCCGCGAATTCAACTCATTGGCATTAGAGAGATTTAATATTGGACTTGATTCTCTATTCACCCCATCAGTAGCAGGCTCTTCCAATTCCTGGGGCTGCTCCGATACTCGGGGAACCCTTTCAGGTGTCACATTATTCCTTGACACTGCCTGCCTGCGAGAAGTTGTATTTTGATTGGTTTCCCCGGAATTTGGAGATTCTGTATCAGTGATTACAGGGGGAGTCCCTGTGATTCTCTGGTTATTTATCCCAGGATCCACAGAACCAACAGCTCGAGGAGGTGATGATGGTTGACGGGGAGATAAGCATTGGGGTGAGGAGTTATTAGTCACACCCAAGTCTCTTCGTATTCTATTCCTACGCTCTCGCTCCGTCCTCCTTGCGCTCACCCCGTGATTAGGGACGCATTCACTGCAGTGCTGTGTAACAATTTTTCTGGGGTAACGCTTTCCCTCTGGCGCCATGTATCCACATCTCCAGCATCTATAATGGATTTCTTTTTCGGCGTGATGCTCTTTACAATGCCTATATAAGTTTTCTATTTTACGAGCTCCGATATACCGACCGCGTCTAGTGCATATAGGACAAAGCAGCTCCTCATGTGCATCAATCGGTAGTAATATGACGACCTTTTGACCTTCGACGACAACTTTTAATGTTTCAGCCATAATGATAGTGGCACAAGAAAGTCACGCCAGTCCGAGTAACCCATGAGTATTAACCAAATAAACGTCACGAATCAACATACCAAGACCAACAGGACAGAGCGATCATTGGTTAATCCAACTATTCCTATAGACCAATGAAGCCCTTTGGCTAAAATCGTATACAGTTCTTTTCAGATACGACACTACACTTTGATCTTAGCCAAAAGGCCGAGAAGCGATAAGGAAACATAGGCGTCGAATGGTTTTATACATTTCGAAATAATCTCTACATCGAGTTCTAGCAACATAGGACCTAGCGTACTGTGCCATCTATAGCACCGTTGACGCAACTCAAACAAACAAAAATCCTATGTGGTAGGTATGTATGTACACAAACAACATTATATTTTTGCAATTTCTTCTATAATGATCTGTGGCGGCCTGCTCTCGACAGGATACAGTTATAAATCAATCGAATTTTATTCGTACTTATTTAAATTTAAGATAACCAAAACCATAGATATTAGATACCTAGCGCACAATGGAATGGTGATTCAAATTGTAATTATTAGAATGAAAATCTTCAGCTAGTCTCTGCTAGATGGCGCTCGTAATCGCATGCGACATGAATGCTATTTTTTAATTATTTTGTGAATGTGAAATATCCGGATATGCCTAACGTCGCTGATAATGCTTGACCGCAGGGCTCGGATAGCGGCACAGAGTACATGATCCGAATGCGGTATATTTTTCGAAACGGTTTCGCTTTAAAATACCTAAAAATTTATTTGTCTTGTTTATGTTCGAACTTCGAATTCGAACGGAATCATAATAAAAACGTCAAAGAGATTTAAATTAAGTGCTACTACTTAAAGGTTTTTGAAAATCGTATAAGAAGAGAATTTCAAATCGTTCTTGTTCAATAAAACGTTTTTAATTTTCACATTTTTAGGGTTACGGAAAACTTTTTTCTACGGACTTACAATTCGTTGAACCATGCATGTAGAAATATTGAAATAAATACATACACAGAAACAAATATTATGGGCATTGGGCATATGGCTCTTGACGTCTTGACGATATAGAAATAAAGTAAATAAATGTTACTTAATCAAAACATTGTGCTGGAAAATAAATGTCTTATATCTTTTTTTTAAATGTCAAAAAAATCATGGTTTGTCATGATTATAAATAGATACTTAGGTACTATTATTCCTTGCTGCCAAAATGTCGCGGCACGCGTCACCCCTTTAGCTTCCTGCTTCCTGAGGAATCACAGATTCAGATTACAATCTGTGTGCGGAATAAATCGTTTTTTACGTTCTCATATTACGTTCTCTTTTCGTTTTTGTTCGGAACAATATATTCTACAAGGAACCGTTCAAAATGTTTTAAAAACGTTATTTTTAACCTTTAATTAGGCGCAAGAAGAAAATCAAACAATTAGTCGCATGGGGTCTCTAATGACTATAGTCCACCAAATTTAAGAAATACCTACCTTTTAACGTTTCACATTAATCATTCCGCAATAACTTTGCACAAGCATACTCACACGATTTAAAATAACCTTTTACATAAATCTGAAGAATTATGAAGTTATCTATATTTCATTACAACGTGTATAGATTTTTTATCACTAATTTAAATTAGAATTTTTCAAACAAAGCAAAGTATTAAAAAATAACCAGTATTAACTTTTTTACTTTACGTTGTTTCAGTGACATGTCGCTATGTACATATATTACCGTAGTGTTTGGATGATTAAAATTCACTGTTATGCGAATAATCGGCAAAATAATTAAATAATCGGTAAAAATATTCTAATAATCGAATCATTAATTTCTTAAATGTATTATTGTTTAATTTAATTTTTATTATCAAAATTCCTTAAATTACATGAATCATTAATAAAACAAGTTTATTTTTTTCACTTCGTCAAAGTAAATTTTTGTAGGTAAAAGCTCGTACACAAGGCCGTGCTAAAATAACCACTACCTACCTACATAATTTCAATATCCCGCCATTTCGATACCAGTTACTCGCCTCTACAGAATTAGTAATTCTTTTTTGAGGCTGTATATACGCTTTTATAACAAAATGCCAGTAAATATACAAAATTTGACATAAGTGCACATAGTTCAAAAACTTTATTCAACTCAGATTGTATAAAAAGGGTTATTTTAATATTAAGGAATTTATGGATGATATAAGCCCGGGGAAGGGTGATCGCTACCAAGCTATTTTTAATTTGTTTTGTGTTGTTAATTGTAACACGTATAATTGTAAGCTATTTTTTTTTGAACTAGTCCCGTTGGGTTTCTTGCTGGTTCTTTCCAGGACAGAGGTATTTTTTGCGAACCAGTGGTAAATGAAAAGTGACTTTCAATAATTATTATTCATAATCTATATTGAATAAAAAAGTTTCTGTTTCGAGAGCTTAATGTGCGTAATTTTGTGTTTATCTTCTTATTTTGTGACTCGGCTTTAACTTTTTGGACTGTTTCTTCTATAATTACTTTTTGTACGTAGTAGAGCCAAGCTACATCTATATTATAGTTGTAGCACGAATGGGTCGGCTCAACCAAGGCAGGACCACGCTCTCAAAGAATACCAGCGTAAAATAGCAACGTAATGCTGATGTGTTTCATATGGTGAGCGTAGAAAAACAGAGACCCTTTTTACTGGAATCGAGGCATTCCATCTTAGTCCTCGGGGTTGACAATGCATTTGTAGTTTGATTCTTAATTGAGGATAAATGTGTATGCCTATGGGCCATAGCATCCACTTACCATCACTGTGTGCTCGTTTGTCACCCAATGCTATAAAAAAATTCGTTTGAGCATGTGCCCATGTCACAAAGGATTATGGATAACTTTGAAAGAGACATTAATTTTGACTGCATTATTGAAAATCTAATAATAATAATTAATATAAACAACGACATCCCTACTAGTTGTACTGAAAGTGATTGAATAAATTTATTTTGAATCTAGTTTCAATCTTAAATTTTTATATCTATGCCTCTAGAAATAAGCAGTAACAACGAATACGACTGAAACTGAAACTGATAAATCTTGTGTTTTAAATTATTCGTTTTTTATTTATTCTGATATTATTCAAACCAAACTGTAAATGATTACCAACTCTAAATAATCGATATCGATTTTTTTAAGAATCGAATATTTTACGTTCACATTTTTTGATTGGCATGCTTGGTGCAATAAGTCTGACAGCTGTCAAAATGTATTTCTTAGATTTGGTTGACTATAGTTATGTGGGCATAAACAGTTGAAAATATGGAGTTATAAATAAATAAAACCAAGTATGTATTATCAAAAATATTAAAATTCATTCTTGTCATTTATTTAAGAAATTAAAACACAACTTTGACTTTAAACATTGAAAAAAATAACAAATCATCTAACCTCTCTTTAAACTACTAATTTTTTGTTCAGCCGAGATCAACGTTAAAAAAAATTAATCTAATTCATGTGGAGATTTTTCTATTCTGCATCCGACGCACCTATATACCCCAAAGCTATGGAGTGTAGAAGTAAGGAGTACCAACTCCCATCGTAGAATAGTTGAAAAAGTGACCATCTGTAAGCAGTAAATAACACTTCAAAAACTCTCCACAACAGCGCTGGAATAGCTACTCGGATGAAATGAACTTAGCAGTTGTCGATGGTTTGATGTGTGCTGCTAAACTGCTCAGTAGCTCTAAAATCTAAAATAATTTTATTTAATAAATAAATATAATAAAATACTATAAAATAATACTAGGGACTTTTTGTATTAAATGGCAGTACCGCCGCCTTTGCGGTCGGGTCTGTCATTACGAAGAAGTGAATAACTTTTGATAGAGAGGCCTTTAGAGACCTTAGGGCTGAGTTGGGTCTCCTGAAGGAGGAAGAGATCGGCTTCGCGATCTCGAAGAAAGAGCCTAAGCTCTGGGAGGTTATTTCGCAAACCACGGATATTGAACGAAACAAGCGACAAACCCTTTGGTTTGATACGACCGTGCGATATTGCGGGAGCAGAGGGCTCCGGCATAGTGTTTTTACAACGACCTTAGTAGATCGATGTGCTCAGCAAGAGCAAGGAGACAATTTTGAATTAAATAAATAAATTAATAAAAATCTATTGAAATTCAGATTATATCCACCCTAGCCTGTAACCCCGCTAAAAGTCTTTCTACACGATCGGGACCAACCGCCGACAATCGTGTCCTTGGTAGAGTCAACCGATTTTTGATTTTGAGATTTGAGATTCATTCTTAGGGTCGGTTGACTCAACTTGTCAGTTCTCTTCGGCATTCAAAGCGTAAAGAATTAGCTAAATATGACTCCTTGTCTTTCGAAGCAACAAAAGATCGGTTTGGTAATAACTTTTTTATGCTTGAGTGAAGAAGAAAAACAAAGAAAAAAAGAAAGTGGATGAAACTGTGGCTAAAAGAGCGAATTCTACTTTGAACCGTCTCAATATTTTAAGGATTCTTGATTCTGAAGTCTTACGAAATTTTCTAAGAATTGATCAAGACAATTTTAAAGAATTACTTGAAATTGTGCGCCATTGCAACGTGCGGTAACGTGCGCCTGCAACCATGGTTAATAATTAATATACCCCGCGACTACTGCCAAGCGAGCACCTAGGCGCTCTTGTGAGCCTTGGTCGGGGTCAACCACAACCAGGGACCCGACGTGTCGTGAGGGATGCGCTCGCGACCAAGGCCGTCGGACATCAACCAAAATATTGGTCAGACAACCGATGCCTACACTGTGTATTTTTACATCAACTGGACCAAGGTCACGGTGATTGTTGGTTGGTCACGACCGTGTAGAATGCCTTTAAGTGGCATGACCAAAGATGCCTACATCGTATTATTACCGTTCGTAGGGTTTAGAGAGTTGATTTGAATTTCGATAGAGTTTAATTAATTATTTATTTAATTTAAAATTTTTGTTTTTATTGTTTGTGAAATAACAGTACCATATGCTTCTACTACGTTCACACGTTACACC